ACGAAAAAGAATCAACCACCCTAATCGATTTGGCTCAGTGGATAGTGTCAGCCTGTGGACTGAAGGGTCCCAGGTTCCATTCTGGTCAAGGGCATGTACCTTGGTTGCGGACACATCCTTGATGGGGGTGTGCAAGAGGCAGCTGATCAATGTTTCTCTCTTGTCAATGTTTCTAGCTCTCTATCCCTCTCTCTTCGTCTCTGTAAAAAAATCAATAATATATATATTTTTAAAAATCAATAAAAATATATTTAAAAAAATCAACCAATGAATGCATAAATGGGTGGAAGAAATCAATGTCTCTCTCTCTCTCTCTCTAAAATTCATAGATTAAAAAAAAAGACTCTGGCTGGTGTGGCTCAGTTGGTTGAGCATTGTCCCATTCACCGAAAGGTCGTAGTTTCGATTCTTAGTCAGGGCACATACCCAGGTTGCAGAGTGCCTCCCTGGCTGGGGTGTGTACGGGAGGCAAGTGATTAATATTTCTTTCTCACTCTCTCTTCCTTCATCTCTCTAAAGTCAATAAAAATATATTAAAAACTATCAAAGTGCATATATATATATACACACACACACATATATGCATACACATATACAGATACATAGATACATAAATATTAGAAATCACTGCAAAATGTTAATACTAGTTATTTTAGTAGGTTTATAATGAATACAATGGTGATTGAGAAGCCCTAGTATCATGAAATTTATTCTAAGTAGGAGTGACTAATTATATATATGTTTAATTTGAAGAAACAATACATACTGGTGGACTTTCAGGTTCACAGTTTGGAAATTGTCACTCATGTGTTGCTTTCTTTTTAGTCCTCACTGGAGGATTTTTTTTTTATTTACTTGAGAAAGCGAGCGAGAGATCCATGGGTTGCCTCTTCTACATGTCCCAACTGGGGACTGACCCTGCGACCCAGATATGGGCCTGAAAATGGGAATCCAACCACAGACCTTCCTTTGCATGGGAGGACGCTCCAACTGAGCCACACCAGCCAGGGCTGTCACTAATGTCTTTCTTTATAAGGAAAGGGCTGAACTGAAAATCAATGACTTTAATGACTTTTCTTGGAGCCATCAGAGAAATTAGGTTGTGGAAAAACGGTCACTTCAGAAGCTGGAGAGACAGAACACAGAGAACAGATTAGATCACCCACCTTATCTGGAACAGCTGCTGGGGCCATAAACTGGTAGGACAAGGAAACGTTAACTTTGTAAATTGCTAGGAGCTGTGTGTTAAAATCTCCTAGACCAGAGGCCATAGTCTTATCTTCCAGGCCCCGCACTAGGTGTTCTTTATAAGGAGCCAAGAAGAAAAGAAACACTTTTGCTTCTGGCAGGGGGAGGGGAAAAGTAGCTCTTCTGAAATATGCCCTGTTCTCCAGAACAAAGGCCTATACATCAGGGGGAAATACTTTACCCGAGCCTTATCTGACTGGTGGGGGAGGGGGGGGGAAATTACCCATATCCAGCCCACTCTAATTTTCCTTGCTTACCCAAGAGGGGGAAAAAAAAAATGCTGAGAAACTGTGTGAAAGTCACAGCCAGGGATACAGGCTCCCTGAAAGACAGATCTAACCATAGGATTATAGAACTTCCCCCCCCCCCCCCCCCCCCGCCCCCATCCCTTACCACGTCAACAGGGCTACAGTGTGATAATAGTGAGTTATAGCTAAGGAGAAGCAAGATGCAGATTCGATTGAAGGAGTTTTTAAGGAGTCATAAAGACAGGAGACAAAAAGGGAATCAAAGCCTCTGACACCTACAGCTACAGCAACCATGAAGCACAGACCAACTCCTGGCCAGATTCACATAAAACCCATACCGAACACCTACTTATCTCAGTTCCTTTATCTGATACATGATGCCTGGCTTTCAACAAAAATTTACAAGACATTCTAAGCTTTACAGTAAAAAAAAAAAAAAAAAAAAAAAAAAAAAAAAAAAAAAAAAAAGTATGAAGAGGCAAAGCAAGCATCAAAACCAGATTCAGATATGGCACAGATTTGGAATTTAAAATAACTATGATTACTGTTAAAGGCTCTAATGGACAAAGTAGATAAAATGCAGATGGGTAACGGAAGCAGAGAGATGAAAACACTAAGAAAGAATAAATAAGAAATGCGAGAAATAAAACACAAACATTGTAATAGAAATGAAGACTGCCTTTGTTGGGATCATTAATAAACTAGACACAATCAAAAAAAGAACCCGTGATTTGGAGATGTCAATAGAAACTTCTGTGGACAAAAGGGGCCACGTGCTGACCTGACCAGCTCAGGGGAGGCCTGCGTGGCGGTCTTGCAAACTCAGAGACCTACAGTAACCACAAAGGATGGTCTGGAATTGAACTTTAACTAAAGGCAGTTGTGGTGGGCAGTTGGTATCTTCAATGACAAGGTCAACCTTTATCATAACTGAGCCTGTCTTTTTGCATCTATGATAACATACTTGTAACTTCCCTTTTTCTAGAGCCCCTAGGGCACAACCAAGTGTGGTAGGCGCCAGGACAGATACCACAAAGTCCTTCATTATCATGTTAATTGTTCCTGCACCACCTAAGTACCTGTCCATCATTTATCTAATCCCAGGGGTCCCCCGCCACACCTTCTCCCACCTCCCCTTTGCTTTTTCTAACCTCCTTACTCTATCACCAATAAATTTCTTTTTTTTTTTTCAAGAGGTACAATTTTTTTAAAATATATTTTATTGATTTTGAACAGAGAGGAAGGGAGAGAGATACAGAGTTAGAAACATCGATGAGAGAGAGTCATCGATCAGCTGCCTCTTGCACACCCCCTACTGGGGATATGCCCGCAACCAAGGTACATGCCCTTGACCGGAATCGAACCCGGGTCCCTTCAGTCCCCAAGCCGACGCTCTATCCATTGAGCCAAACCAGTCTTGGCTATCACCAATAAATTTCATGTAACTCACCTAAGTCCCTCCTTTTATTGCAATGTATAAATACAAATGTAACACGCAATTCTCCGGAGTATTATTCAATCTAGTGAGATTCTGCTTCCCGGCAATTGTGGACAGTTTGGCTCAAATAAACTCACAACAAATTCTTCAAAGGTTTGAACGTTTCTTACCATGACATACATAAGCACAGCAAGGATGAAGGGTCTGGTACAGATGTCACTAGGGTGGAAAAGTTAAGGTGGTGATTTATTCCAAGTTGACCAAGTTCCTAGAGTTAGGTGGTAAGTCTCAAAATGGTTCTAAGAATCCACCTTGAATCATTGTTTTCCAACTGGTGGTTAAGAGACACACACAAACTGGAAGTTGGCTAATACAACCAAGAAAGCGAACTCACCTGGTAGGGCCAAAAGTATTTCCCAGATGAAGGAAACATACATTCAGCCTATTTTTTTTTTTTTGGGGGGGGAGGGCAATATAAATGCAGAAATACTAAATGCAGTTGCAATAGGCAGAGTTAGATTCCCTTAATAAATACTCTTTTACTAATTAATATGATAAAGGGGAATAACTAACTTGCTAGTACTGAAAATTACAAACAGACCAATAGACATTTAATACATTTGGTCTTAGAAACTAACCAGTTACAAAAGTAATGTACCATATAAACGTATTTTTATTGATTTCAGAGGAAGGAAGAGGGATAGAAATACCAATGTCACAGAATCATTGATTGGCTGCCTCATGCACGTTCCCCCACTGGGGACCAAGCCTGTAATCTGGGCATATGTCCTTAACCAGAATTGAACCCGGACCCTTCAATCTGCAGTCAATGCTCTATCCACTGATCCAAACCAGCTAAGGCAGTAATGTGCCATATTTTAAATCCCCTTTTAATTTCTGCAGTGTGACAGAGGTCATTAAAATATAACTGAAAAAGTTCTCAATCTCATTTCCACTGCCAGATTTGGGACAAATGTCATTTACCCCCCACCCCCCAATTCTGTGATATTCCTGATAAGAGTTGCTTTTCATCCCTTTCTTTTCCACTCCACAAAGCAGAGTGGAAGGCAACTGAATGGTGCTACTATATGACCTTGAATCGTCTTCTCTACAATTTGAGATTCTGTATTATTTTCATGATACCCACACCCGATCATAACACAGCTTTATGTCAGCACCATTTCTGAGGATCCTTCATTAGTTCCTTGCCTTTAGTCAGAGCCAAGATTCTCATTTGCACTCAATTTCAGATATTATTAATATAAACAGTAGAAAGGAGTTTTAAAAAATATTTATTATATTTGGTTCTAGAAATTATAGAAAATAAAAACTGATACAATTATGTCACACATCCTTAGAAAGCATATTTATCTTTTCACACCAGACAAGAGTTTTATGCGATGCCAGAAATGGAAATACCTAGGCAGTCAGTGACAAAGGTTAATGCTGCTGAGAGGAGCCCTTGTGAATTTTTAAAGTTTTCTTCTCTGCTGTCATTTATTTTTGGGCAAATACTAGTCCAGCGGAAAGAGTTCTGAACATAAAAGGCACCTAGAGTAAAAATTAGACCTTGACTAATAAAAATAGGGCACATGTTTACATTAAGAAAAAAGGTCCTATGAATGCAACTCTTCTGAAAGACAGTGATAATATAAATGCAAAAGCCATTGTAACTAAAAACAATTACCTGAACCTGATACATAAGCTAGATAATGGCAATCACTTTTGTGTTCATAAATCCAAAGATGCTTCATCATCCTTTAAATAAGCATGAGTACTATGTTTATTTTCATAGGGCAGAGGTGTTGTAATTGTTTACCCATCAAGATTTGTTTGGTTGCATTTTCTCTTAAAATGCATTATTGTGTACTCATTTCAGAGATGTTAAAAATTCCCATTGTCCAAAAAATGTAGCAAAACCTGCCCTGGCCGGTGTGGCTCAGTTGTTTGGAGTGTTGTCCAGTGCACCAAAAGGTCATGGGTTCCATTTCCGGTCTGGGCACATACCCAGGTTTTGAGTTTGATCCCTGGTCGAGGTGAACATGGGAAGGCAGCCAATTGATGTTTCTCTCTCTCTCATTGATGATGTTTTTCTCTCTGTCTTCCTTCCACTCTATAAAATCATTAAAATACATCATTTGGGTGATTAAAAAAAGAAAAAGAAAAAAAAAAGGAGCAAAAGCTAAAACTGCCACTTTAAACTGAAGTCCTTTTTAATTATTATAAAGCCAGCGAAGCCAGTATATTTTACTTACTATGACTTAAGCACCTGAAATACACTGTAACCCATTTATATTCTCTAAACTAGACTAAGGATCCTCAGGATTTGTATATGTGTATAAATATTGCAAATTAAGCTAATAAAAACTTGAAAAAATACAAATAATCTTTTGCTACAAAGATCCAAAATCCACTATAAGTCTGTACTAAGAGAAAGATGAACAGGAGGCTAGCAAACACTTGTCTGCATTTTCTGATCTGGGGACAAAGGGCTCAGCGGAGCCAGGTGGTGTTCAGCTGGGTCTGGTTCTTGATGCTGGTGTCCATTTTTAGCACTTCACGAATGGCCATGGTAGCGTAGGTGGAAGGAGGAAGAGAAAAATCCATCTTCAGAGCTCTGTATTTGCCTTCTGCCAGGCAAGAAAGAAGAGAACACTCAGAAAAGTAAGGCAGTTGCAGACTGACTGGGGCAAGTCATATAATCTCTACACAAATGAAAGTATTGTGCTCTTGTCCCCAGGGTTCCATTCCCAGGGGGCCTCAGAGAACGAGCCTCAGAAGTAAAAGATCTGTGAGTGTCTGACCCAGTTGACTCTCTCCGTGTATTCTACCTAGGACTGTCATAAAAAGGGCAAATGACAGAATAGCACAGGAGAGAAATGCATGTAAAATAAATTTTAAAAAAGCCAATAAAACAATCAGAGCACAGGGTGAAGACAGACAAAGCAATGGCAACCAGAATCTGACAATGACAATGTAAATTTAATGTTTTAGATATTCTTCCTAGATTTTTGCTCACCTTTGCTAACCCTCTCTGGGGGTATAGAGGAAATATTCAATCACCTAAAACGAAAACCTTCTATAACTGTCATACATTTTCAGTGGGATTTACTGTTTTAATCACTGACTTCTAGCTATAATCATGAAACTGATAAAACACAAAATAGAAATTACAGAGTGAATGGGAAGTGGTGGTATTATAAGAAATACACGGTGTGTCCCCCCAAAATGTAAAGCACAAATAGTTAACAGCTCAATTTTGAAAATGAAATTTATTTTCAATTATAATCACTGCCTTTCTCATTATTCAAACGGTGTACAGTATATATTTTTTGGAGACACCCTATATTTCAAAGTTGACAAAGACCTGATGGTTAAGTAAACTTACCAGAAGCAAAAACTGGTGGTGGTTTCCCTTCTAGATTGTCCACATCTGTGTTGAAGAGTGGAATTTTAGGGTCATCGTATGCAACAACTTCCCTTTAAAACATGAATAAAAAAGGGTCAACGTGAACTTCCATAAAAGGTACCAAGTCATTCAACACCATTTGTTTAGTAAGGAAAACACAGGTCTATTATAGACAATAGTGGAACTATTTAATAACAGAACCAGGCTAGAGTTTTTGCATAAATACTACTTTTATAATATTATATAGCAAGGTAACAGATGATGCCAGCTTATGGAAAAGAAAATGTTTACCCAGAATGAAAAATCTTTAATAGGGAAAAAGTTCATTCTTTGAACAGTTTTCAATAATTTATTGTCAATAAGATATAAATTAAGTCACTGTATGTTTGCTTTCATTTATTTCTCGATGATTTAAAAATTATCAAAAATAGCAGAAATAGTATTAGTTATGTCAACAACTAACACTTACATGCCAGGTTTGTTTTGTAAAAAATATTTTTAATGATTTCAGAGAGAGGAAGGGAGAAGAGATAGAAACATCAATGATGAGAGAGAATCATTGATCGGCTGCCTCCAGCACGACCCTACTGGGGATAGAGCCTGCAACTCAGGCATGTGTCCTTGACTGGGATTGAACCTGGGACCCCTCAGTCCACAGGCCTACACTCTACTCATTGAACCAAACCAGCTAGGACCATGCCAGGTTTTACACACTGAAAAACATATATGTGGTGTGAAAACTTAAAATCTCACATAGTAATTCAGTTCTATTTCATTCTGGACTATTACTCACCAGCTGACGTTCTGAGGACGAATAATGATCTTTCGGTAGGCCCCTGATAGAGAATAATCTCGGATTTTGTGTCTCATGTTGTCGATATCAAGATTATCTGCTGTGAGCATTTCCCTGTAGGCATCACTAACTAACATAAAATACAAGTTAGTGGGGATGTACCATGTTAGCAAGCTACCGTGAACTAGACTACAGAGTAACATGTAAATTCAGTTGGTTCACCCTAATACAATTAATCACACTAATATATGATCCAGTCTATTCTCTGGAATCAAAACTTAGTGACTCACTAAGTAGGACCAGGCCTCTCCAGGTTAGGTTTGAACCTACTTATAAATGACCTTTGCAAACAACTTCAGTATCTGGGGAGTAAGGTTCCCAAGCCAGTCACAAAAGGCCATTTCATAAGTTCCTAAAGTACAATTTACACATGCTCCGAGATGGAAGAGAACATATATAGAAGCCTCCAACTGTTCTGGCAGAAGGTAGTTATAAATAAAAGTATAGGAATCAGAGACCTGGGAAAACCATCTGGCACACCCGGGCACCTGGCGTAGCCTCGTTCCCATCACACCGGAGAGAGCTGCCGCAGCCCTCCTGGGGGCGCTCGCCTGTTGCCGCGTGAGGTGTGCGCAATTATTAAAAAGTCTCTGGTTGATTACGCTCTACCTATCCATTGAGCCAAACTGGGTGGGGCACAAAAGTAATTCTTAACGGGCTCTGTGGAATGGGAAGTAATTTAACTTTTTCACATTATAAACTTCTGTGTTTGTTGACTTTTAAAACACAGCGAGAAGAAAGTAAAAAAAAAAAAAAAAAAAAAAAAAAAAAAAAAGAAAAAAAGTAAAGTTAAAGTAGAATTATCCATTAACTTCCTCAAGGATTCTTTCTAAAAACTTTCCATCCTTAGTAAGAACTAATGAATTCCAGAAATTTAAATAATAATGCCCGTAACAACAATACTAATAACAATAATACCAATACCAAATACTACCACCACCTTCTTAATTTAAATAATCTGAATGCAACCCTTTCTGGGAGACTTCTACAAGTGAACACAGTTTATATATGTTTAAAGTCTAAACATGATGGATAACTAAGTTCTATTATATTTAAAATATAACTGAATTTTCCCTTTTTTCTCTACTCTTAGCTGCCAGTGGCTTCATTGTGTTAGACTTTGTTTGAACTATTTCCCCATACAGAGCACTTACTTTTATGCTTTGGGTAGATAACCTCAAAACCAGGCAAGGGCATTACCACATCATGGATGGAGTAATTATTAACATCTTCTTCCTCGATGTAGGTGGCTGTGGCTACAAATTCACAGATAAGTAAATAAAAATAAAAAAAAGGCAATATTTTCATGAGCTCAGACTTCTAAAATCATACACATCTGAGCTGTCAGAAGCACAAGGTGGTACAGTTCTGTGGCCTACAAAGAAGTTAGAGTTGGAATATATTATCTTTCACTTTTCCTACTCTACCCAAGAAATAAAAAATCACAGACTTGAAAAAAGTACTAAGTTAAAACTTTCATTTCTCAGCTGCACTTTCACTGTTTGGGAATGCTCGCTTTTAACAATCAGCTCCTTTTCCTTATTAAGCAATGCTACAAAATACTACTTGGAAAGCTATCACAAATTAATGCATTTTGCTAAAAGAATGAACAATAAAAAACCAAAACGGTCTGTAGTTAGAGGATAAAATACGGTGGCCCACAGGACATTAAAATACATTTGATATAGATCCTGGCCGGCGCGGCTCAGTTGCTTGGGCGACATCCTGTGCACCAAAAGGTAGCTGGATGGATAACTGGGTGGGGCACAAGCCTGGTTTGCAGGCTCGATCCCCAGGAGGGGGCTTATAGGAGGCAGCCAATTAACGTTTCTTTTTCACATCATAAACGTTTCTCTCTCTCCCTTCTTCTCTAAAGCCAATAAAACATTTTTTTTAACGTTTTTTAAAAACATACAGATATGATCAATATTGGGAGGAAAAACATGTTTAAAAATTAAAAAATTCAATTTTACATTGACATAAACTATGCACAACTTACTTTCTTCACCAAAAATAACAGCAATGTTTTCTGTCTTATTCCTAGAAAACCACAAAACACATTTTTGTAGGTTTTCCTGGTTTTGCTAATACATCAAGAAGATGCAGTCGATACAGTCATGGGAAGACAGAATAAAGCAGACAAATCAGTTGTCAGTATCCATGGCCTCTGATCCTGTCTTGACTGTGAAAGGAAGTGTTTGACGTATACCTGCTAAAAAGCTTATGAAGATATAGGCTCCATAAAGGAATGTAAACAGCAATAGCAGATGTGAAACAATGGCAGGGTCTTCCATTCAGTCTTTAACTGTATCTAGTTCCTTGAAAAAAGATAAAAATCTACACTGAGCTCTGACCGGTTTGGCTCAGTAGATAGAGCCTCGGCCTGTGGACTGAAAGGTCCCAGGTTCGATTCCGGCCAAGTAGGAGGTGCGCAGGAGGCAGCTGATCGATGTTCCTCTCTCATCAATGTTTTTAGCTCGCTATTCCTCTCCCTTCCCCTCTGTAAAAAATCAATAAAACATAAAAAAAAAAAAAATCTACAATGAAATCTTTGTTTGGCAAGCTCACATTTTTCTTTCACTGTCTGGCAACTCCCTTAACTTCCTATTACAGATTTTTAATAGCATATTTAAAACTCTTGCTATTCAAACGTTAATTGTGAGCTTCATTGTAAGATTTATAAAATGTATTCTTTCCTCTCAGACCTCCTCAAAATGCATTTCTTCAAAGACCTGATAACGCAATACCTCAACAACAGACTTGATCCCGAGTCCCAGCCTTTTCCTTCTTTAACTGCCTGTGGAACCCTGGACAAGTGACTGAACCTCATCTGAAGAACGAACAGAATTCTTGGCAGTATTAGCCTGAGCTTCAAACTAGAAGACACAGATGAGGGACTCAGCATAAGGACTGTGCCCAGTAATAGCTCAACAGCAGATGAGATTGTCTGGGTGTCTGAGAAACATTTCGGGCTCAGTGTGTGCACAAAACGGTCACCAGGTCATGGCCCACGTGTAAAGGGAGCTCCAATGTGAAGTTAGGAAACTCCTTAAACCTGGCCAACAGCCCAGAGGCTGAAGTCCATCCCAAAGCGCAGAGAAGTATTTGCTAGACTCAGATTAATTTTAGGCAACATCTTATTCGAGCTGAGAAAATGGGCAGTCAGGCGCTTACTCAAACTAGAGGTATATTTTTCATTAAAGATACGCATCTAAACTAGTCAGTCTGAGTTTACAATGTCTTCCCATTTCAAACTTACTAGACATCTCTCTCTCTTTTAACAAGCAGTCAGGCTGGATTTTAAACCCTGGTATCACATACTTGGACTCTAGTTTGACTGCATAATGACAATATCTGCCTTTTTACCTCCTTTGAGAACTAGGTCCCCTGGAACAGGTGTCAGTCCGTACTCTTCTATTCTCTTGCTCACCATGTTATTCCACACATAGCTTTGGTAGCTATGAATATACATTAAGCGGTTATTTCTAGGTATCTGGAGGGGAGAAAAAAAAAAAAAGCCAAGAAACAAAAAGTTCTAAATATAATATTAAAAGTACAGTACTTTCCATGGCATCTCACTTTAGTGGTGACCCTCCTATAAGACACTCATACCTTAAACCTCCAATATGTAGCGACCGGTGTTAAGACATGAAAGCCCTCACACTCAAGGGTATTCACAATGGGCTGCAGCCATAGCTGTGCCCATGTGTATCCACAGTGCAAACATTCACACGGATAAAGCAAACACTACAGAACTTATGCCCTCCGTCAAAGACATAGACTTCAAACCTATTCTAGAGCTAATGGTGCTTTCTCCCCCATAATGTTATGTCAGGGAGAAAACCTAAATGATGGAACTAACAAATTATTTCATGAAGAATCCTGCTTTCTTTTTAGTACATCCTGGGGAAGAGTCAGTAAGACTCAAGTTTAAGAGTTAAACTGTAGTCTATTCTGGATTGTAGTTATCCAAATACTAGTGTAGGCTGCACAAGAGTGGGTACCAATTTGCATTACCACGAAGAAACTAGATGAAATGCCATCACTTAGACCCCTTACTGTGCAACCCTCTTAACTGAGGCAGGTGACAGTTCTGATGCCTGAGAATGATCAAGAAATGAACTCAATGATGCATTCTGAGTTTTTCAAAAAGCAAGACAGTGAATTTAAATTTCCTCGTATATAATATTTTCCACATCACTGCTCTTCTCATGCCCTCAATGTTAACTGTTACGTTGACACCGTTGCCATCCACTACCCGCCCCCGTGACCTTTCAGGGTCTGAAGCAGCACGCAAACATCACGCAGAGATCACTGAAGGATCCTCCTTTACTTCCTGCTCTTTCTGAATTTAGCAAAATATTTAAAGATAACACTTAAAAAGCATCAAGCCTCCTTGAATCATTTGCCTGACTTTACAAATCACACTCACTATGCCAAATGCAGAGACTATATTCTTCATTCCATACTTTGAAAGTCCTCGAAGCAGCTGCCCTTCCACACACCTTTTGACAGGTAGCTTTCTGAGGGCAGCAGCCGGGTCTCTGGTCTTCGCCCATTCTTCCCTGCATTTAACCAAGTACCCCTTTTCGGCTGAAGGAGGGGTGGGGGTGGGGGGGGGGGGAGAAAGTTGCGATTAAACAATTTATCCAATAGGCAGATTTGCATAACTTAAAATGCTTCATACAGAACACAAATTACAAAATGCTATTTGTAAAAGCTTCTGCTAACCTGAGAATCACCATCAGAAAATAAATAGATGGGAAGTGTAGAAAGTTTACAGAACTAGACAGCTTTGTCATCACCCCAGGATTTACAGCCAGTGACTGTTCATTATCACAGCTGATTCAACATACCACAAAACCGTGGCCTGCCTGCCTGCATTCCTGCCTTCCTTCCCCTTTTCTATAGGATTGTCAAATTTAATGGGTTACTTCCCTCAAAATTAGATAATTTTATCTCTTTTAAATATGCAAATGAATCATTACCCAAAGTGGGCATCATTTTTGATCATCTGTAAAGTAATACTTAAATCGTTTTTCATGCAGTATAATTTTAGAAATATTTTCTGGAAAGTTTTAGTGAATTTTTCAAACTAAAGATTCTCAATGTTTTTGCCAAGTTTTTATATCCTAATACACTTTTAAAAATTAACCACAAATTCCTGGGTTCAAAGACTTACTAGTGCATGGAGAAAAGGGAATGAATGTATTCATTAAATAAATCAGATGAGCTAAAAAGCTGAAAACAGCATATAAATGATAAACCTCAAACATGGACATAAACCTTAGGAGAATAAAGAAATACACTATACTTTCTATTTTACCAAAAAACCCCACAATTTTTAAAAATTCTGAACTCCCCTAATTTTCACATACTTTCATTCACAGTAATGCCATGAATATCTAGCCATATACTCTATTTTTTTTTCATAACATGAATTTTATTCTCACCTCCAGAACGGGGTTTCAATATTAAATCCATGACTTCAGCCCAAGAATTTTGTAGTATAGCTCTAAAATGAAACAGCATTTAATTTAGTTTCTTTCACATGAAGATGGAATTTTTTATGTCCCAATCCATGGAGTCAACAAATCACATTGGCTTTATGTGTTTTACTAAATTTAAAAGTAAACAGAAAGCCCAATATGACATAGATTTCAAACGTAAATGCCAAAAGAACTTAAAAACAGGAGGAGGATCCTGTTCTACTCAGATTGAGCACGGCCCTTTATAGAGAAGCCAAACTCTGCCAGCCAAGTAGCTGAAGCTGTTTTATCACAACAAAGGCCCAGTTTGTTCCACGAGTATGTATTTTGTTTCTTCAGTTAAAGCCTTCAAAAACACATAATAAATTTGGGCCAGGGAATTTTTATTTATTAAAAAAAAAAAAAAAAAAAAGAGAGAGAGAAAGGAGAAAAAAACATAAGGTCTACTCATGACATTTAGTATCATTTCACACTTTTAAAATTCTATACATTTTATTAAAAAAGTGTGAATACTACACAGTTATGCTTAAGTTGCTACAGATGGTATTATCTGTAAATAAAAGTTATGTCTTTAGGTGCCTAAACTTATTTGAAACTTCTCAAAAAAATTTCTCCCTGTGTTTTTATAAACCTTCTGGCCTAATGAAACAGAATAAATACAATTTATCATTTTCTATTATTCTTATTAAACGAAAAAGCCTTTTTTTATTTTTTTGCTGATTATAAGTTATACATGTGTCTTAAAAATGAACAGTACATTAGAAAGTTACCTGTTATCTAATCTCTAAGAAGTTAAACAGTTAACACGTTAGAGAGTATTTTTTAAAACTTTTTGATCCATCTATAAGCATATGCAATTTTCTTTTCTTCTATTAATCTACCTTTTGCCATATAAAAGTAACATTTTGTGTAACATTTCTGATTTTGGAGTCACGCTTAGAAAGGTCTTTCCTAACAAAATATAGAAATCCTTTCTATTAATTTTTGTTTTATTTTTTCCCCTCGTTAATTAGCTTTTATATTTTTCTCATTTAAGTTAATCTATATGGGATATTTTGTATATTAAATTGTATGAAGTGCTGTTTAGTATCTGTTGATGAGATCATATGAATTTTCTTTTATTTTTTAAAAATTATTTTTATTTATTTCAGAGAGGAAGGGAAAGCTTTTATATATATAGATACTCTCTGCTGGACAGCAGAATAGCATAAGTAGGTTTATGAACACAAATATTTATTGATGGGATTCCCTTCATAGCTAGAGGGATTTCCTATTAACTAAAAGTTAATTAGAATTCTTAAAATACTGTGTTTCCCCGAAAATAAGACATTCTCCAAAAATAAGACCTACTTACAGGTTTCCTTCTGAGTGAAATATAAGGCTCCCCCCTAGGCTAAACATGAGAGATTTGGTCACTGATTCTGAAAGAAATGGAGTCACAAGAAATTCACCAGGAAATTCAGGAATTGGATTGTTATGATGATGTTCCAGAAGATGATGACATGATTGTCATTGAATAAATAAGTAAATTCTTGATACTGTAGGAATCAGTTTGTCTGGTTTGTGTTGACAACTACCGTACTACCGTACCGTATACAGGTAATAAATTTCCTTTATTTTCATTTAACAATAAATGTGTATCGTATTCTTCTTCATGGAAAAATAAGACATCCCCTGAAAATAAGACCTAGTGCATCTTTGGGAGCAAAAATTAATATAAGACACTGTCTTATTTTCGGGGATACAGGGTAGGTCTTACTTGACTAATTACAGTCTATACCATTTTAAAAATAAAAGTCAATAAGCACTGGTTAAAGGAGGTTCACAACAGTGTCATCTCTGTCAGGCTACTCTGGGTCTGAGTTACCTAACTGCTAATTGTTAGCTCACTCACTGAGCCAAAATTTACCTGTAAAAAAGAAAATAAAAGCAGAATACCTGGACAGTCAAGGGTGGGAGAAAAATGTACTTTTCCGGTTATATCCTTTTGAATTCTGAGTTATTATTTTACCTTGTGTATGTATTAATTCATACAAACAACAAAAATTAGGAGGCTGTGGACCAGTTAATTGTCCAAAAGGCTGACACACTGGCTCATGTGGTCCAGACACCAAGAAATCTGGAAATAATTAAAAACACCACCTGCTTCTGCTGAAACCAGTTTGGCTCAGTGGATAGAGCGTTGGCCTGTGGACTGAAAGGTCCCAGGTTCAATTCTGTCAGGGACATGTGCCTTGGTTGCGGGTACATCCCCAATGGGGGTGTGCAGGAGGCAGCTGATCGATGTTTCTCTCTCATTGATGTTTCTAGCTCTCTATCCCTCTCTTTTCCTCTGTAAATAATCAATAAAATATATTAAAAAATAAATAAATAAAAACACCATCTGCTTCTTTTTTATGAGAGCTCTTTTAGACGAGTTAAGAACTTGAATACAAACCTTCCAACTTGATATGTGGGGACGGCTGTAGTTCCAAACCTTTGCATTCCGTAGTAGTTAATAAAACCAATCTCCTTGAGAGAGTTCATGGCTTGTTCTACTTGGTCATCAGTTCCTGTTATATTTCTGTAGGGGCCCAGATTATCCAGAGAAAAGCATTCACAGTCAAACACATTAAGGGATGCACCTCATAAATGACATGGCTTGGTTTCCATGCTTTCCCCTCGTTCCTTGCAGCTTTCTCTCTGCTTCCTGACAACTTTGATATTTCTTTTTATTTAATTGTGGTAGAAGAGATGTAACATTAAATGGACCATTTTAGCCATTTCTAAGCTTGCAATATAGTGGCATTAAGGACAGTCACAGTCTTGTGTAACCTTCAATAGTATCCACTTCTAGAACTCTCTCATCTTCCCAAACCGAAACTCTACACCCACTTAGCACTAACTTTCCCCCTTCCTCTCTACCCCCGGCCTAGGAAACATCCTTCCACTTTCTGGGTCTAGGATTTGCCTCTTCCAGCCCTCACACATAAGTGGAACGATGCATTCTTCATCTTTTAACATAGTAGTTAAGGAGATGGCATCTTTCCAAAGGTGGTGCTGAGTTTTCAGAGGGGTGTCAGTACAAATACTCCGGTAATATTTGCTCTCCCAACCCTATGAGGCCCCACTCTGCCTTCCCTTGCTGCCATGCCTACTAGTACCAGCTCACCTAGATGCGTAACTGCTCTGTTTTTTCCTTATGAGGTCACATCGAGCATAGACGTGATCAGGCAAGACCCTTTCTGGACTGCACCGGACCCAGTTCTTTACCTGAGAACAACAGTGAAGTGATTCCCTTGAAGCTCTCCCAATTTCAGTGGGTTTTTTTGATAGCTGAAATTCCCTAGCTTAAAGTTCATCAAGCACTTGTTCAAGTGGGCAAGTCTTTGTGCAGTAATTCTAAAAAACAAAACAAAACAAAACAAAAACAAAACACACTACAACAATCATCAATACAGCAGAGCAGGTGAGAGCATGTCAGGACCTTCGTTTTCAGGGGTTTAAAAGGCTGGTGTTTAGGGTAGTCATGGAGGCTGGACACATTAGGCTACATTAGGTCACTCTACCAAGCCTGGGAGATGTAGCAACTCTACCTGAAAAAGGAGCCCCTGAGGATCCCAAACAAGATGAACTCAAAGAGGCCCACACCAAGACACATCATAATTAAAACGCAAAAGGTTAAAGACAAAGAGAGAAACAGTCACCTAAAAGGGAGCTCCCATAAGACCATCAGCTGATCTCTGCACAGAAACTTTGCAGGCCAAAAGGGATTGGCAATATTCAAAGTGAGGAAAAGCAAGGACCTATAACCAAGATTACTCTTCTCAGCAAAGCTAGCTTTTTGAATTGAAGGGCAGAAAAAGAGCTTCCCAGACAAGAAAAGGCTAAAGGAGTTCATTATTACCAAACCAGTGTTATATCTGCTCACATGTCTTTCTGTTGTTCACATCTTAAGAATGATTTAAAGTCACATTTAAAAAGAGAGGGAAAGAGGAAATAACACCTTCTGGAAACTGTTATTGTAATTGTATTATTAAGGAATCCACATCTACGACTGCCTTGTTAACAGTGACATGTTCCTACACACCGTTCTGGACTTTATCTTATAAGCAGTGTCTTCTCTTTTGAACTCAACTGAAAACCCAGATTCATGAGGCCTCAGTCTCTGCCCTCCATTCCTGGAAGGTCCCAAAGCCAACCCTGTAGGAGGTTTTATCAAGGAGAAGATCGCTTTGTCTTCCCAGATGACAAATGCTCTGCTTTGCTTTATGAGGCAGATAGCAACCCCAAACCACAGACAGGTTGGGACCTGCGCAGGCCTCAATACAGCTATACTTCTATGTTTACATTTAAAAAAAAATATATATATATATATATTTTATAATATATTTTTACTGATTTCAGAGAGGAAGGGAGAGGGAGAGAGAGAGAGAGAAACATTGATGAGAGAGAAACATCTATCAGTTGCCTCCAACAGCGCCCCCCCCCCCCCCCCCCCCGCCACTGGGGATGTGCCCGTAACCAAGGTACATGTCCTTGACCAGAATTGAACCTGGGACCCTTCAGTCCATAGGCCGATGCTCTATCCACTGAGCCAAACCGGTTTTGGCTAAAATAAAATCTTTATATATATACACACACACACACACACACAAAGAATCTGATTTGTTTTTTTTAAATGAAATCCATATATATATATGAAATCCTCTTATATACATACATACTGTGTGTGTGTGTGTATACATTTTTATTGATTTCAGAGAGGAAGGGAGAGGGAGAGAGATAGAAACATCAATGATGAGAGAATCAATGATTGGCTGTCTCCTGCACACCCCACACTGGGGATCGAGCGCACAACCTGGACTGAGCAGGAATTGAACTGTGACCTCCTGATTCATAGGCTGACGCTCAACCATGGAGCCACGCCAGCTGGGCTGTTCTTGCTCTTGTTCTTCTTTTTTTAAATGAGTTGAGGTAAAGTTTATTATTTTAACCTTTATAAAGTGTATAATTCTGTGGTTTCTAATACAGTCACAAGATTGTGACACTGTCACCACTATCAAATTCCAGAACAATTCCATTACCTCCAAAAGAAACCCTATACTCCTTAATACCATTCCCTCTCCCTGCAGCCTCTGGAAACCACCAATCTACCTTCTGTCTCTACAGATTTCTCTATTTTGGACATTTCATCTGAATATAATCATATAACGTGGCTTTTTGTATCTGACTTCTTTTACTTAGTACAATGTTTTTTAAGATTCATCCATGTGGTAGTATCTATCCGTACTTCATTTCTGTTTTGGCAGAATCATATTCTGTTGCCTGTTCTTGAATATACAACAGACGTGTATTTCCAAATCCCACTAGCACAGCAGAAAGCAAGAGCTATATTCAGTTCTTGTTGGTCTGGGTGCTTCTGGAGAACAGCTGAGATGGAGTTGACAATATCTTCACAAAATTGTTCACAGTTTTAACTTTGATGACCCTGGATCCAGCTTCTTGGTTGTAAACTCATAGCCAATTCTGTGACTAAGCTGGCAATACCAAAATCTCACTTTTAAATGCCAACTTAAGCAGCATGTCACACAAAAGGCCTGTATTAACAAAGCCAGGGAAATACTGGCTCAGAAAGGAGACTGAGAGGGAGAGGCAGGAAAAGAAACAAATCATTCTGAACGAAGCTGTGCCTGCTTGAGATCCTGTTAAAATTACTAGGTGACTTTGGAGAGCTGCATGAAGCTGGGGGGAAAAATGCAGCTTATCCCCAGGATTGGCCGATGCAGCAGCAGTGAAATCCTTGCATGGCAGAGTGGATTTCTCCTGTGCAACAGTGTTCAGGGGAAAGGCCCATCTGCCCAGCCCCACATCATTAAGCAAACTGAGCGTGTGGCTTGCATCTGTAAGATAAGCGCTATGGGCTTTCCGCAGGCCAGCAGTGAGGTGTCTAATGTATTGTAGTTTCTTACTATCGACAGATGATAAAGGCAGCAAAGGTCTAAAGACAGATCAGCCTTGTGATGAAGTGTGACACCTGGTGGCTGACCAAGAAGACAATAAATACCTTCATTTCAAATATTAAAAAATTTCACAGCATATATTGAATATAATGCAATATAAATAATAAAGTGCCTTTTTTTTTACTTTCAAATAGGCAAATGACTTTTATTTACTTATTTATTTATTTATTTAATATGTTTTATTGATTTTTTACAGAGAGGAAGGGAGAGGGATAGAGTTAGAAACATTGATGAGAGAGAAACATCGACCAGCTGCCTCTTGCACACCCCCTACTGGGGATGCGCCCGCAACCAAGGTACATGCCCCTGACTGGAATCGAACTTGGGACCTTTCAGTCCACAGACCGACGCTCTATCCACTGAGCCACACCAGTTTTGGCAAATAGGCAAATGACTTTTAAAAATGTCAACACATGCTTGGTCTAAAGAACCAATGTGGAGAATTCTAGAGAAGCAGGATAAAAATAGGCACCACCTTTCTACAGAACAATTAGGGTTTCCTACTGAAAACCTAGAATTTCACATTCCCTTTAAATCAGTAATTCCGCTGCCCTAGCCGGTGTGGCTCGGATGGGAGAACATAGTCCCATGGACCTAGAAGTCACCAGTTTGATTCCTGGTCAGGGTACATGCCTGGGGTTTCAGACTTGATCCCCAGTAAGGAGAATGCAGGAGTTTGCAGATTAATGTTTCTTTCATCAACATTTCTCACTCTCTCCCCCTCTTCATCTAAAATCAATGACAGAAAAAAACACTAAAAAAAATCAGTAGCTGAAACCGGTTTGGCTCAGTGGTAGAGCATTGGCGGACTGAAAGGTCCCAGGTTCGATTCGTCAGGGGCACATCCCTGGTAGGGGGTGTGCAAGAGGCAGCTGGTCAATGTCTCTCTCTCTAGCTCTATATCTCTCTCCCTTCTTCTCTGTAAAAAATCAATAAAATATATATTTTTTTAAATCAGTAATTCCAGGGGGAACAGGAGCGGGCTGGAAGAGGTTAATGGGGGGAAAAGGAGGACCTATGTAATACTTTCAACAATAAAGATTAAAAGAAAAAAATTCGGTAGTCCCACTGCTAAGTTTATCTTAATATAATTATTACAGGTATGTGCCAAAATTCAGCTACCAATATGTCTGTCATGGAATTGCTTATGATAGCAAGAAATGGGAAACATTATAACCATACAGAAACAAAGTAATCATTCATAAATTAGGATATGTCCATATATTTTAGTATCTTTTCCTATGTAATATAATGATTTTACTAACAGGGAAAGAGGTGCATCATTTATTGTTCACAGGAAAAGGACTTTATGTAAATAGTCACACTTTATGTAAATATTTTGGCTTATGAGAAAAAATATGCCAAGTTATGAACAAAGCAATCTCTGAGGGAGTACAGCTATGGCAGAACTTTCATTTCCACCTGATTTCTTCTGTGTTGAAAACAAAACTAACCAACTTAAATTTTAATTTAGGTGAAAAATTCACAGAGCCAGCCAGAAAGAACAGGACTTGTCCACAGCATTCCTTTAGAGAGCAAAGAGAAGGCAACAAGCCCCCGTGTCCCACACCCACAGCGTATGGGCAGCCTGAGCTCTCAGGCCTGGCGCTCACCCATTCTGCAGAGTGGCTGGCAGCCCTGGCCCATTTCCTACAGCGGCTGTTCCAAACCTTTACCTCTTCTCAAGTTCCCTTCCCCACGCCTGCCCACTTCCTTCTTTTTTTTTTTTTTTTTTTTTTTAAATATATATTTATTGATATTTTACAGAGAGGAAGGGAGAGAGATAGAGAGCTAGAAACATCGATGAGAGAGAAACATCGACCAGCTGCCTCTTGCACACCCCCCACCGGGGATGTGCCCACAACCAAGGTACATGCCCTTGACCGGAATCGAGCCCGGGACCCCTCAGTCCTTAGACCGACGCTCTACCACTGAGCCAACCTGGCATTGGCCCGCTTCCCTCTTAACAGATGCCCACATGCCATGTGTCACAGGAGGAAAAAACTAGGCAGGAAGGTAGGAGCACCACCATTTCAAGTGTTCCTCCTGCTCTCTCTCAAACACATCACATCTGCACACACCACTGTCATGGAGAGAACATGCTCTCACTCTGCTTTACTGCCACAGCATACCTCTGTCCCCAGGCCAGGGGGTAAAAGGACTGGAAAATCCATTATGATGCAACCAGGAGCTCAATCCCCGGTTCTAATGAATCAGAAAAGTGATGGGAAAGAAGCCAGATTGTGGGGTAAAGAGGAGATGCCACGTCAAATTCATTTTGAAAAGATAGGGGAATTAGAAGTAAATTAAGTATTTATTTTAAGTAGGGACGGCCAGCACAGATGTCTTATTTATTTATTTATTTTTTAAAAGTATTTTTTATCTATTTTTTTTACAGAGAGGAAGGAAGAGGGATAGAGAGTCAGAAACATCGATGGGAGAGAAACATCAATCAGCTGCCTCCTGCACACCCTTCACTGGGGATGTGCTCACAACCATGGTACATGCCCTTGACCGGAATCGAACCCAGGACCCTTGAGTCTGCAGGCTGATGCTCTATTCACTGAGCCAAACCAGCCAGAGCACAGATGTCTTATTTTTAATCCTATATAATAAAAGCCTAGCAACCAAATGGTGGAATGACCAGAACAACCAGTCCACCAGTTGCTATGATGGGCACTGACCACCAGGGGGCTGACACTCAATGAAGGGGCTGCCCCCTGGTGGTCAGTATGCTCTCCCAGTGGGAGTGCTGCTGGGCTGACCAGGATGAGCGGTGCTCCCACAGTGGGAGCAGCCGCTCAGAGGGCAGGTCCACAGCCACTTGGCTGACAGGGATGAGCAGTGCTCCCGCAGCAGGCCAATCCCCACAGGCCACGCCCCCCACCAGTGCACGATCCTGTGCACCGGGCCTCTAGTTATAGTATAACTAACATAAGGTAAAGTATACATATTAAAAATATACAAGTTTTGCCGAAACCGGTTTGGCTCAATGGATAGAGCGTCGGCTTGGGGACTGAAAGGTCCCGGGTTTGATTCCAGTCAAGGGCATGTACCTTGGTTGCGGGCATATCCCCAGTGGGGGGTGTGCAAGAGGCAGCTGATTGATGACTCTCTCTCATCGATGTTTCTAACTCTCTATCTCTCTCCCTTCCTCCCTTCCTCTCCGTACAAAATCAATAAAATATATTTAAAAATATATATATACAAGTTTTGCCGAAACAGGTTTGGCTCAGTGGATAGAGAGTTGGCCTGTGGATTGAAAAGTCCCTGGTTCAATTCCGGTCAAAGGCATGTACCTTGGTTGCGGGCACATCCCCAGTAGGGGGTGTGCAAGATGCAACTGATCGATGATTCTCTCTCATCAATGTTTCTAACTCTCTATCCCTCTCCTTTCCTCTCTGTAAAAAATCAATAAAATACCTCGTCCTCCCAGCATTCCTCACCTCAGGGATGCACTCAGACGAAAGCCTTTACCTCTGCTGAACTAACTGGGTTCAGACTCCTGGTCTTCCTCCTTAGGATGTGGCAATACTTCCAAGATCTCCAGTTTCAGCTATATTGCTTTACCCACAACTCATAATCTGCCTCTAAACACAGCTTCCTGTGTAGATGAAGTCCAACATCCTGAATATGACCTGTAGGACCCTTCACATCTGGATCCTGCCTACGCCCACACCTATTTCTTGCTGTGCTCCCACACAACTAAAGTACGTGCCAGGTACCAAATGTGCCATGTTCCCAATTCCATCCCAGTGTCTTTTCACAAACTGTTTTCTTAGTTTGGAACAAACAACCCTAGACCTGTCCCAGCCTCAGGAAACTCCTACCCATCTTTCTAGACCAGTGGTTCTCATCCAGGGGCAAGTTTGCCCTTCATGGGAAAACGGCAATGTCTGGAGACATTTTTGGTTGTCAAAGTTAGGTGGCAGGGGGGAATGCTACTGATATCTAGTGGGTAGACAGCAGCCAGGGCTGCTGCTAAATGTCCTGCAATGTATAGGATGACCCTGCAACAGAATTACCTAGCCAAAAATATGAACAGTAAAGAAATTGAGAAGCCCTAATTTAGATTAAAACTTTAGCATACCATTTTCTGAGAAAACCTTCCCTGGCTGTCCCCCAACAATGAGTCCCTGGCTTTGTTGTCAGATCTATCCTAATACCACCAATATACTTCTATTTCAGCATTAATCACACTGTGTAACAGGTTCTGATTTACTTGTCTGCTCTACTAAATAACTGCTTCAAAAGCAGAGACCATCTTTTCCATCTGCATATCTGCAGTGTATACCAAAAGTGTTCATTCACTGTTTTGAAATAAAATTTTAAGTAACTTATCCTATATAATAAAAGGCTAACATGCAAATTGTCCAAATGGCAGAACAACTGGTCGCTATGATGCGCACTGACCACCAGGGGGCAGACGCTCAATGCAGGAGCTGCCCCCTGGTGGTCAGCGTGCTCCCACAGGGGGAGCACCACTCAGCCAGATGTTGGGCTCATAGCTGGCGAGCACAGCGGCAGTGGCAGGAGCTAAGGATGATTAGGCAGTCAGACATCCCCCAAGGGCTCCCCGACTACTAGAGGGCACAGGGTGGGCTGAGGGACCCCTCTCCCCACAATGCACAAATTTTGAGCACTGGGCCTCTAGTTTTTAATAACGAATGAACAAGAGAGAGGAAAAAACGCACTATCCTCATGGATCTACCACAAAAATTCTTTTAACATCACACAAATAATACCCGTGTGCTATAAAAACTTTAGGAAATACAGACAAGCAAGCAAGAAAAGAAACAGAAAAACAACTTTTGAACAGGTTGAGACACCATCTAAAGAGAGACACCCCACAAAGCAAATCTGAGGCTTCTGAAAGGCGGTGCTAGGATTTTGCAATGTGAACCTCAGTATGTGCTCTCTACTTACTTGAGAACAGCAATCTCTTGGACAGTAATGGCCCGTTTATCTTTGGTCCCCATGTAGGAGAATATGTTTGGCTTGACTCTGGAAAGACGGAAACAAAACCATCTGAAGTAGTATACCAGTAAGAAATCATATTTTTCATAACCTAAGATTCAAAATATACTTAAAATCATAATAGATTAATAAGGAGATAATTAAAAAAAAAGTACCCAGAAAAACATAATATGCAACATGAGAAAGTGATGCTCAAACAACCCCTAGCAGGGCTTGACTTAACGTGTGTGTGGGGCTAAATATTATAAATAACATACTGTTTAAAGACTTAGCTGGCCAGTAACAAGAAAAGAAATAATGCATGTCCTATTAATCATACGCAGTGCATTACACTGGTAAAAAAACAAAACAAAACAACCACCTCATTCTAGGTATCTAATGTGCCACTCTGAGAACTTTGTATCTTCAATTAAAAAAAAAGTCTATGATGATGTGAACTTTGTGAATAGACATGCTATTTCTTTGAATTAAAAAGCTAAATGCTAACGCTGGGATCTGAACAGTTTTGCAGCGAAGCTATAGGAAAGCTAGTTTGCTAAGACGTAGGTTATTAAAACTGTTTCACACTAACCAGAGAAAAACAGGAAGAATTTCTTGAACTCTGAGCAATCCTCAGCCCAGACCTCAGAGGAAGCCCTCCACACCGCCTCCCCTCCCCTGCGGCGCCGTGTCTATCCTCCCGGGCTCAGGTGCAGGCAAGGCACCACAACCCTCTCCCAGAGAGCTAGCAACCAGAGTGAGATAAAACGTTACCTAACAGAGTGCCGTGTCCTGGGCTGAGCGGGGTTCCCCCCAAATGCCTATGATGCAGCCCTGCCTCCAGGCATTTCTTAATGCGTTTGAAGACCGAACCCTTAAAGACGTGATTAAGTTAAAATGAGGCCATAGGATGGCCCTCATCCAATCAGACTGGTGTCCTAGTAAGAGGAGGAAATTTGGACACACACTGAAACTCCGGGGACATGACGACACAGGAAAAGGCCATGTGAGGACACAGAAAGGTGGCCACCTGCCAACGAGAAAAACCCCAAACCTATACCACCTTGACAGACACTTCCAGCCTCCAGAATGGTGAGAAAATCTGTCTGCGTCTGTGGTGTTTTGTTATGGCAGCCACAAGTTTACACATGACCGAGCTTGTTTAAACTGGATTAAATATATAGTAGAAAGCAAATCTGTATTGCAAAGAGACTTGCTGTGGTGCCTGTACCCATTTCTTAAAAAATAAAATCAACTCCTTCAGCACCTGGCCCATCCTCAGAGGGTCTGCGTTCCTATAAGGAAATCCGACTGGTCTCGGCCTTTCCTTCGCCTCACAGTTTAGTGAAACAAACCTCTGCAGCCCCATCACAGTGTAGGCTTCGGGGAAGAAAGGTAACCCTTATGTTCAGCTGAGCAGACTGGTCACTCTCTACTACGTGTGAACTAGTCACGTACGGAATTTTCATCTTGAATCATTGGCAATATGCAGGGAGATTTTTAAAAAATTAATTCATGCCGAAACTGGTTTGGCTCAGTGGATAGAGCGTCAGCCTGTGGACTGAAAGGTCCCGGGTTCAATTATGGTCAAGGGCATGTGCATTGGTTGCGAGCACATCCCTGGTGTGGGGTGTGTAGGAGGCAGCTGGTCAATGTCTCTCTCTCTCATCAATGTTTCTAGCTCTCTTTCTCTCTCCTCTCCCTTGCTCTCTGTAAAAAAGCAATAAAATATATTTAAAAAAAACAAAAAAATTAATTCACCTACTGTGTAAGGAAACTGTAATTAGGAGGCATATTTGCTATCTGTCTGCCCGTTTTCCCACTCCTTCCTTATTAGCTTGGAAAGAAGAAAATAAATGTCCACGTTTTGACTTTGTATAGTGACAAGAACAAGATACGCACCTTAAGTATTTGGACAGCACATTAATAGCATCCATGGTGTCTTTGTTCTCCTTGTACAGTACAAAGTGGCAGTAGCTTCCCCTAGATTTTGGCCAAGAATGTTTTCTTGGATCTTAAAAACAAAAGAATTAAACGTTATAGATGCTGCAATAAATGTTATCCGAGTTTGTTTTTTTTTCCTTATGAAACCTTAGTTCATTGTTCGCTGGAGAACCTTTGAGTAGAGAAATCAGATCTAGCCTGACAGGAAGTGCAGGTGAAGTGGTTACAGCTGTGTGGACTCTAAGTATTAAATGTTTTGTGACTAACATTACCTGATCATATTTAAAATCAAAAGCTGCGGGCAGGTGGTGTGTCAGGTGACTAAGACTAACCGACAACCTCCACGGGGCAGTCACTTTGAAGCACACGCAGGACGGGGGGCCGACGGGCTCCCTGGAGCATGCAGTCCGGAGGGAGCCCCACAGCGCTGCCTCGCATCCCGGGGTGCACACACACAGGCTGGACGCCTGAGACGGGACGGGATGGAACTTGTGAGGAGTTGCCTCAGTGACACATTTAGGTTTTCCGAAGGTCACCTCCATCACAAAGCAGCTAAAACTGATGGTTTACAGAGAGAGCAGCTGGCATTCAAGACCTCACTGCCATTCTTGGGGAAAAGGAGGTGTGAACAAGTAAGCCAGGTTTAAATGTTAACTTCTGAGCTACTGTTACTCCGCTTGCTCGGCTTTTTTGGAAAGAAACATTTCAAGACTTTGGAGAAACTGATTTTTTTTTTTAACACTTCTTTTATATAACATTCCCATTATCTTATAATATATAGGCACATGTTTAAGCAATATTAAGATTTAGACTTAAGCGGCCCAAAGGGTATTTAAAAAAAAAAATCAACACTTTGGGAAAAATATGTAGATCACAACTGCACTTCCCAGACATACAAGAATACCTGTGAGCCTCAGGTGACACACAGCTGCAGTTGTTAATTGAACACTAATTTACTCAGTGTCTGTCACTCTATGAGAGAAAAACTGAAAAAATATTTTCACACAATCCCTAGGGAAGTGCCTGCTTTTAAAAACGGTCCTTTGTCTTTGTCCCTAAAATCGTCCGTTAGCATGAATTCATGCACCCCTCTTCAGAAACCTGAGAAACTTCCAGGAGGAAAGCTAAAATGTAAAGAACAAAAGAATCAATAAACCATCTGGGAAAACGGCCAGAGCACGGAGGCTCAGTGAATTGCTTTTCCTTTCTGATAAGTATGACCGTGCGTCTTTTCCGCCTCAAACAGAAACGTTTAACAAGTGTTTCTTTGGCTCTCGGTGCGAGTTCCTCACAACTCATCCTCAGAAAATTGCAAATGGGAATATTATTTTTGGTTTCCCTTCCAGATCACTACAGTTAAGCAAAGTTGTCTACACTTGGCACTTGTGACAAAAACCAGTGGCGTTTCATTTCGTCTACATGAAACGCCAACCGCTCTTACCTGCTGCAGTTCTGACCTCTGTCCAAATGCACAGCGTAAAGAGCACAAGAGAGCAACGTTTAATTTATAGGAAATAATACTAACGTGCTTTAGAGGTGAACATGCAAATGATCGCATGGAGTTTCTACCAGGGACTTGGACAGCACCTGGTGGAAGGCGGTGGGTTGACAGCCATGTAGACACTGACAATGGAATGTCGCAGAGGCAAACGGTGAACAAGCAGAAAACTCACCTACAGGTACAGGCCTCCCTGCCTCAATCCCCTCACAATCGTCTGTTAGCTCATCCTCAAAGCTGCACTGTCTCTACCCACCGGAAGTAGCAAAAGGTTTAGGACTGGATGCAAGGCCCTGGCCGGGTAGCTCAGTTGGTGAGGGTGTCAGCCTAGTATGCCAAGGTTGTGGGTTCGATTCCCAGTCAGGGCTCATACAAGATCAAACAATGAAGGCATAAATAAATGGAACAAAAAATTTATGTTTCTTTCTCTTTCTCTGCTTCCTTTCTGTCTCTAAAATTAATTGGGGCGGGGCCGGGGGGGAGAGAAGCTCTAGCTGGTTTGGCTCAGTGGATAGAGTGTCAGCCTGTGAACTGAAGGGTCCCGGGTTCGATTCTGGTTAAGGACACATGCCCGGATTGCAGGCTTGATTCCCAGTGTGTGTGTGTTGGGGGGGTGGGGGTGGGGGAGCAGGGTGCAAGAGGCGGCTGATCAGTGATTCTCATTATTGATGCTTCTGTCTCTCTCACACTCTTCCTTCTTCTCTAAAATCAATTAAAAAAAAAAAAAAAAAAAAAAAAAAGACTGGATGCAAAATGCTAAAATGCTTCCCCACCTAGAGATTTTAGAGATTGTGTTCTTAAATATAGGAGGACATGTACAGAAATGCTCTTGTGATTCACATTTGGTGGTGAGATTGCAAGTAATTATTGCTTTGCTTTGTGTTTTATGAGTTTCCTATAGTGAGTTACAAATATTTTTTATTTGAAAAAATGCGAAATTATTATGAAAAACAGTTCTTAAACCAATAGATTCAAAGAGATTTAAGAGATGATTTAAGAGATCCATTGAATCCAATGTTCTTACCTTGTTCGTATCATTATTTGAACAAGTCATCTATATGTAAAAGACACTTTTGACATAACCAGGGAAAAACGGAAAATGCATTGGGTATTAGATATTAAGAACTTGTTGATTTTATTGGATGGGATAATAGTTTTATGGCTTCAGTCCTTATCTGTTAGATACATACTGAAGTATTTATGAGTGAAATAAAGTACAATGCAGAATTTCCTTTAAAACACCCCAATAAGAAAAAAAAAAGTTGGAGGAATAGATCAAACAAAAACAACAGAATGTTAACAATCTTGAAGACGGCTGATGGATACAATGGGATTAATACACTACCCCCTTCATTTACGTGCATATCTAAAAATGTCCATAAAAAAAAAAGTTAAAAATATTTTTGTGGTAAAAGTTGATGAAGTGTAGCTACATTTTCCCTTAACTAATACATTTCCTTTCGGTAGTACATTTACAATAAACCAAAAATGGCAAATAAATAAATAAATAAATAAATGAAGCCAGAAGACTAAAAAACTAAATGCTATAATTTAAGAGAAACACGACAACTGAATATGAGTTTTGGCTCACAAGCATGTGTCTGTTCTTTGTTTTGTTAACCACCTGAGGTTATTTTTTCCCATTGCTTTTCAGAGAGTGGAAGAGGGGGAGGGATGGGGCGAAAAACATGCATGTGAGAGAGACATATCCACTTACTGCCTCCCACACTCACCCCAAAGAGTGGGGTGGGGAGGAGCAAACTCGCCAGGTATGTGCCCTTGATGGGGAATCGAACCCGACACCTTTGGTGCATAGGCTGACACTCTAACCACTGAACACACTGGCCAGGATGAGCATGCATCTTTTTTTTTTTTTTTTTTTTTTTAAATATATTTTATTGATCTTGTACAGAGAGGAAGGGAGAGAGATAGAAAGCTAGAAACATCGATGAGAGAGAGTCATCGATCAGCTGCCTCTTGCACGTCCCCTAATGGGGATATGCCCGCAACCAAGGCACATGCCCTTGACCGGAATCGAACCCAGGTCCCTTCAGTCCCCAAGCCGACGCTCTATCCATTGAGCCAAACCGGTCTCGGCAGCATGCATCTTTTATTAGCAAATCCAAGCACTGAGCATGCATATCATTACCTCCTCTGCAAATACCAGATGCAAGGATTCTTTTTCTAAGTGCATTCGGTATACAAAATATTAAGCATATGCATTGATTAAAAGAAAATCTATGAGTATAAATTTATTTCTGGGTAGTCTGTTTAACTTTATAAAACCCCAAATCCCTAGAATGCTAACTAGCACATGTATAGCTTTACAATTTAAAATAACTTTCAGAATGTTTGAGACATTCTAATTTAAAATGTTAATGCAAAGAAGCCTCAGGCTGAGAAAATGGGAAGCGGTCTTCTGATGGTCTGATATGGCAGCCCTGGTCTAGTAGAAATAGGAACCAAACAAGAGAAATGTTCAGGAAGATTCATGAACCCTGGACAGAGACCCTCATGAATAAGGAAGGAAAAAAAATGTTTGCAGCTCAAGAAAGATGACAGGAGGGGGTAGCATGCAGGACATTCTTTCCTTCATAGTCAAGGCCCTGCCCAGTGGGGCACCCCTGCACGCCAACCTTCCGGCTTCCTCGGGGGTCCTGCTCTATCATTCCGCTCCTCCCGGAATTCTCACCCTCCCTCGACTGGCTCTTCCTTCCGTACATCAACATGGTCAGGGCTCATCCCCCTTTTTATTTATTTTTTAGGTCTCCCCTTTATAAGGCAATCCTATGTCTCCCTCTCCTTAACCACGTCCCTTTCCTTTCTCCTCCTCTTGAGAGCTTATTTGAAAAAGCAGCCTGTATTTACTGCCTTCCCCCTCAACCCACTGTGTACACTGGCTTCCAGCTTATTCCACGCAAACTGCTCTGGCAGGCACCGATGATTTCCATGTTGTAAATCCTGGCGGACACGTTTCACAGCTCCGTTCTGCCGGACCTACCTGTCACGTTTCCACTGCTACCCACTCTGGCTACCGGAATGCCCTCTTCCTGGGGATGCCATCACACGAGTCTCTCCCGGAGTTTCCTCTTCACCCGCCCGGCTCTCCCTCCTGAGTCTCTGTGGAATCCCAGCCCAGGTATCCACCAGGGACGAAGAACCTCTACATATCACCCGGCAGAAAAACTTTGTTTTGTTTTTTTCACTTAAGTCTTTGAAAAGTTCTCAGAGGTACTTGGAACGTACTGTTTTGGAGCTATCCCAAAACATAAATCAATTTACCCGATTAGATGATTTAATAATAATTACATGTTTCCAAAAACAAAACAAAACACTATAGGGATGCTCTGATAGATACATCCACATGCCATGTCTATCAGGCAGGACGTCTAACGTGAAGTAGTTGGTGACGTTTGGGCACCATGATTCAGAACCCACGATGCCCATGGTTTAGGACGCATGCTCTATTTGAGAAAACAGTGAGAATTTGTATCAGGGTTTGGTAGTAAATGCACTCTGAAAACATTATAAATGTAGATTTGCAATGAAGATTTAAAAGCTAATTAATTCAGCCCTAGCCGGTTTGGCTCAGTGGATAAAGCATCAATCTGCGGACTAAAAGGTCCCGGGTTTGATTCCAGACAAGGGCACATGTCCAGATTGCAGGCTCGATCCCTACTGGGGAGCATGCAGGAGGCGGCCAATCAACGATTCTCTCTCATCACTGATGTATCTCTCTCTCTCCCTCCCTCTACCTTTCTCTCTGAAATTAATAAAAATATATTTAAATTAAAAAAATAAAAGCTAATTAATTCAAATGCTAGGCAGGGTGGCCCAGGAGGAGAAGGTGTCATTGGTATCAGGTTCTATTTTATTTTTTATTATTATTTTTTTACTTTTTACTTTTTAAAAAAATTTTATTGATTGGTATCAGGTTCTATTTGCAGGGGCATGAACAATATTCTCTGGATACCGGCTCTCCTTGCCTTCCCAATGGTGATTACTTTAAGCCACTCTCATTCGCGGGCGGGCGGGGATCTAGATCTGTGAGAATGAATGCAGGTTCTCAAGAGCCTGTCTGGGTCCAGGAGGAGATTGAGAGGACAGCTCGGAGGGAGACCTCTCACCCACCCTTCGCTAAATGCCACCACACCTCAGGCCTGAGAGGTGCGAGCAGTGATCCAACCTAGCCTGCCTTCGTGCTTCTTTTTAAAGGGAAAAGCCCATTATTTTACTGAAGATGTGCACAGGGAGATGGGGAGGGTGGTGCATGTCACAAGGAGCTCAGCATCTCACTGGGAAATTCTTAAGGGAATGTCTTTGGATAAAAAAAAAAAAAAAAAGAGAAAAATGGTGGGTGTGGCATAAAGCACAGAAAATGTAGCTACAGACAGAGCCTGAGAGACCTGGTGCCATTCATTCCCTTGAGAAGGAAGGGTGAGAAAACGGCAATGGCCACTGTGGCCTCCAACGCCCTCACTCCCCTCCTGGAAGACCACAGGCAACCCCTAAGAAACAATGGTCACTCTCAAGAGGTGCCCCGCCAAGGAAAGTCAGGTTTTACCTTTTCCAATTTGCTTCCTCATGACCACACTCGGCAGAACAGGACCCTGACTTTGCTTCTTGCCTTTGCGAGAGGGCACGGCCTCTCTGTAAGGAGCGTCTACCTGGCAGCCCTTTTCAACCTGGGTCCCAAGGCATTAGACGGAATGGAGCAAGTCACCTTCTCTTCTCCCCATCTAGAATAGCTGCCCAGCTACAAGCTAATCGTGGGAGGATGGAAAAAAATAGTCACTCAGACCATATTCCACTGGGCTGAATTCTCCTCAACAATTCTGGCTGAAGAAAGACTGCTAGGTAATATTTTATACTATTGACTCAGACACCAAAGTAACATACAGCAACCACACCATTAGTTTGTGGAACTGGAAGTATGTTAACAACACGTAATCTTACTTTTCCTTTTTTTTGGCATCCACCGAGAAGTGGCCTCCAATCTCCTTTCCTTCCCCCCAACTGCTCGAGGTCTCTCATTTCTGTTCCCATCCATACTTACTGATCTCACTACATTATTTTCTCAGGCCTAGCTGAACCTAATTTCTGCCCATGTGTCTTACATCCTTTCACTTCACTAGAACCATAGTTAAAAACCACAAAGGTTTCCTACATTCAGAGCATTAACCTAAGGAAATAGGACCAAGCATTAATGCTTTGAACGGTCTTTTTTTTTTTTTTTTTTTAAATTTGGTCTTGGAGTTTTGTGCTAACAAATATATCCAGAAGTAACTCCACTAATAGAGACCATTCCTAATACGGAAGGAGGAAGAAGAAATAATTTTTTCTTACTGTAATTTTCATTAAAATTGTAACTGTTGATTAGACAAGGAAAAAACTATCTACTATTTCTTAAGGTTATATACAAGTAGAAATTTTCATGGCTGTAGAAAACACATCCTATATGATAAAAGGCTGATAGGCAAATCAACTAATGGTGTAACAACCAGTCGCTATGACCACCAGGGGGTAGATGCTCAACGCAGGAGCTGCCCCCTGGTGGTCAGTGTGCTCCCACAGGGGGAGCACCCTTCAGCCAGAAGCCCTGAGCCGGGTTCACGTCAGCGGCAGTGGTGGGAGTCTCTCCTGCCTCCGTGGCATCGCTAAGGGCCCTCAGGGATGTGGGGGGAGAGGACCTAAGCCTTCAGTCTGACATCCCCTGAGGGCTTCCAACTGTGAGAGGGCACAGACTGGGCTGAGGGACCGCTAGGCCTCCCCTCCTCCCCCCGAGTCCAGTGCACGAACGTCACGCACCGGGCCTCTAGTCAGAACATAAATATCAGAGATTCACGGAAAACACACCCATGTCAAATGAATGATACACAATGAAAGTTGGGCTTAGGCAAAGGGGTGCTTTTTCTATATATCCCGTGGTTTTTCTATGTGAGTGAAGAAAATACAGTTGGAAAGCCAGCAGCTCTTTCAAGATAAGAACTTTGCTAAAAAATATACTATTAGGATAGGTGACAAGCATTTTCTGTTCACCTGAAAGCTTTCATCTCTCCATTAAGAACACAGAGTGAGCAACAGCCTTTCATTTTCTTCTTGAATTGCCACTCTGCTCTTTCTTCTTGAATTGCCCACTCTGCTCTTCAGGGGACAGATAAAATTCCTAAGACCTCTCTCAGGCACCACTGTAATTTCAGCAAATCTTTTCTCACACAAACGACCTAACGCCCCCTATCAGACAGACATTCTATACGATGGCTCCACCATCTGAAATGATATTATCCACCCTCTTTGAAGAAGTGACAGGATCAATATCCTTCTTTGAACAACAGCAGAGTAGAGGAGGGGCGGACCTGCCTCTGGGGCTCGCCAGGCAGGAGAAATGCCAGGTCCCTCACACACTTACTTGCCAGAGCCTTCTTCCCAGCGGCATGGTAGGCTACAATATATTTCTTCCCCTCTCTGTCCTCTGTTTTTGTCTCTAGTCCTGGAAACAGAGACTTAATTGCTTGATGGATGACAGTTCTTTTCTCTTTGGTGTCCTCAACAACCTATCAAAAGCATAGATAATAATATTACACATTTAACAAACATGAAATAGAGAAATTATACTAATGAATGAGATAAGACACTACTCATTTTCTTAGCTGGGTGAAATAACAAAAGGACACAGGTGTGATTTCAGAAATCTTTTAGACCGCCGAAACCGGTTTGGCTCAGTGGATAGAGCATCGGTCTGTGGACTGAAAGGTCCCAGGTTTGATTCCGGTCAAGGGCATGTACAATAGTTGCGGACACATCCCCGGTAGGGGGTGTGCAGGAGGCAGCTGGTTGATGTATCTCTCACATCGATGTTTCTAGCTCTCTATCCCTCTCTCTTCCTCTCTGTTAAAAATCAATAAAATATATATATAAAAAGAAAAGAAAAGAAATCTTTAGACCTTCACAATACGCAAGTACAACGAGCCTATTGGTGGCGCATGTCCATATACCAGGCACTGTGCCAAGCACTTTGCAGACGCTCCCTCAGGGACTCTGCTGGACCAGTACTTCAGGGCTCACAGACCGAAATGCAGGGATGGCAGAAACTCAATGCCCTCGAATAGTCCAACCCACAATTGCCTCATGAGTTTTATACCGACTCATTTTTGTAATGATGTGCTAGCACATTTGTTCACAATAAAAAAAAAAAATCAACATCAAGAAAATATAAACTTATTAGTTACATAATGGTTTTTCAATTTTTGAATGGGTCTCACATTAAGAAATACATTTCACATCTGGATTCAACAGTCGGAAGTAAGTATGTGTACATATCTTATTAACAATTAAATTTTTTTTAAAAAGAAATAATACTAGGACCCTAACTATGTACAATACACTATAATTTTCTATTTTATTTTATTGCATTAAAAAAAGGTAAGATCCATTAAATTGGGTTTATGACCCACTAATGGATGAAACATCGATGAGAGAGAATCATCGATCAGCTGCCTCTTGCACATCCTCTACTGGGGACATGCCTGCAACCAAGGTACATGCCCTTGATCGGAATCGAACCCGGGACCTTTCAGTCTGCAGGCCTGACACTCTATCCACTGAGCCAAACTGGTTTCGGCCTGAAACATTTTTTAAAAAACCACTTTTTTGCCCACGGTTTATGTGGGTAGTGGTATCTGTTAGTGACAAAAAACATTTTTTTAGTGTAAATAATGCCCTTTTAGATCAAATAGAACATCATTCTTTTGTTAACTACTATAATTTTTCCAACAGACACTTAACATCTATCCCAAAAAAAGCAATGCAAAACCTATACAACCTTTTCATATGTTTCTTTACTACTTACCTCAATGGCAACACTGGTTTCCTTATTTTTAAAAAGCTGAAGCTCTTCTAAACGCTGCTTTTCCTCAGCTGTCAAAACTGTAAATAGGTCTTCTGGAGGATCCTTTTAAATAACCACAAAAACTCCCAATGAGTCACACACAGAATTCAAGGCTCTAAAACACGCTACTTTTATACAGAAGGTGACTTTTGCCAGAGAATGGGCTCCTACCTCCTCATCCACGGGGACGGACAAGTCATTCAAATGGCTGATGCGCCCATCTTTTCCTATTTCGTGGACAACAAAGTCAGAGTATCTGACGAAAAGAAAACACAAACTTTCAGAGCATTAGCATTTTGTTTCCTGTGAATTTTAGGAAACAGTCTGTCAACAGTAAGCCTTACAAACTCAATATAGAAAAATCCGTTGTTTCTATATGCTAACAATAAACTATCAGGAAGAAAAAAGAAAAATAAATAAAATAAAATAACCTAGGAATAAACTTAACATAGGAGGTGAGAGGAAGGAGCCCGATTCCAGGGTGCATTACCCAAGAACTGCCCTCTAGCAATCCGAGACCCCTCGGGGGATGTCCGAGAGCAGGTTTCGGCCCAATCCCCACAGGCCAGGCCGAGGGACCCCACTGGTGCACAAATCCATGCACCAGGCCTCTAGTTTCTTTATAAAGAACTAATATAACTAAAATAATTTTGTACATAAACGAAACATACCTTTCTTTTAAGATTCCTGAGAATCCTTGATGAGAACTTACAAACTTGGTGATGCCTACATCAAGTTCAGTGAGTCCATGCTTCATCATGTCTGCAAAACTCTCAGCTTCCTCTTCCTCCTCACCCTCCTCTGAAAGGCCATCTTCCTCCTCCTCTTCCTCTTCTTGCAGCCGGGCATCAGAATTTCTTTTACTCTTTCCAGCACTTACAGCTTCAGGTAGCGCAGGCACATTTTCACAGCGGGGTGGAGAGTTATTTTCCATCCCATCCTGACCTTTGGTTAGCCAGCCTTCCGAGACCTTCTGTCTTTTTGCCTCCTCAGCTGGGGCCAGACTGTCATTATCTTCAACAGCGAGGGATCCACGTTTCAGCGACACACCAGTCATTTCTGTAATCTCCATTTTTAAGGCTCCAAGAAAACCTTTTGGGAAGACAGAGTAGAAAAGTAATAATCATTTCGTTAATTAAGTGGGTTCCAGCAAACAGAAGCACAGTTAATTTTACTCCTAGTCCTAAAAACCATTTCTTAAAAGAGTTCTCCCTGTCCTGGCCCTTGGTGCTCTCTTGGAAGAGCACCAAGAGATTGTCGGTTCAATTCCCGATTCCCAGTTAGGAGCCAGCAGTCCTGGATTGTGAGAGGGACGTCTGACTACAGGATCAGGCCTCAAACTGGCAGTCAGACATCCCCCGAGGGGTATTGGAGAGGATGCAGGCTGGGCTGAGGGAAACCCCGTTGAGCACTGGGCCTTTAGTGAAAAAAAGTTTTAAAAACAATAAAATAAAAATAAATAAATAAAGGGCCAAGGCAGCTCTCCCTAGGCTCACTCCTATTGCTGAGATCTTGCCTCTTCTCTCTTAAGTCCTTCCTTTGTCTCACTGTCCCCAGTTGTAATAAATTTACTCTCAAAATCACCTGGACTCATGCCATGAAATCTTTCCTGCACAAAATCAATATCGCACACATTTCAGACCTTACTGGGGCAGACCTGCCTTGATCTCAGTCCATTTCCAGTGACAAGACCACATATTATAACCATTCCCCTTACCATGGTAACCCTCTTAAGGAAAGCCCATAGTTACTTTAGCACTCACTCCTCAGCACTGCACTTCATCCCTTCAACAAACATTCACCAGGCACCTCTGCACCAGAAATTATTCCCAGTAGTGAAAAGACAAGGCAGTGAATAAAATAAATGTCCCACCGATATTTACTTCCCAAATCACAGTCATTCAAGCCTGGCCCTAACATCCTTTCCCAACACAACAGAGATCACTTTTTCCTTCCTTTCTTTCTTTCTTTCTTTCTTTCTTTCTTTCTTTCTTTCTTTCTTTCTTTCTTTCTTTCTAAAAAACATATTTTTTTATTGATTTTTTAGAGAGGAATGGAGAGGGATAGATAGCTAGAAACATTGATCAACTGCCTCCTGCACACCCCTCACTGGGGATGTGCCCGCAATCAAGGTACATGCCCTTGACCAGAATCGAACCTGGGACCCTTCTATCCACTGAGACAAACCGGTTTCGCAGGTCACTGCTTTCTTGCTTCAAAACTCCTCTCCGACTTCTTATTTCCTGCCTCTGGAGATGCTTGCCCCTTACATTTGGGCTTCTCTAGGTCTCTTCTCCAGTCTTGCTCCCTTCTCACTCCTAAGTATTCCAGTCAAGACTCCTCCGTCTCCAACTCCTACCCAGGGTCCAAGGCAATCATAGCTAAGCAATAATAACGTGTAGGTGGTGAGTTTGTTCAAGCCCCGCTTCAACCCTATGACAGAAGGGTCATTACCCTTCTCGGCTGAGCACTGAAAAGCTGAGGCCCAGCGATGAAGTATCTTGCTTCTAGTTTACAGAGACAGTAAGAGGTAGAATCAAATGCTCAAACTCAACATGCCCTAAACTGATCTCATCATTTCCCATCACAAACACAGTTCTGTTAAACTGGACCTTTTACCTCAGGGAATGATATCGCCAACTATTAGGTCTAGTAATAATTAATGTCGTTTTCTAATACCCTTTTTTAAATCGAATTTATTTAAACAATACAACAAAATTTAATCAACAATATAGTTGCCGTTGTTTTCTACTACTTGTGCCCAACGCTCAGGAAGCATTTTAATCCCTCTGTTGTAAAATTCTTGTGATTTTGATGCAAAAAATTCGGTCAATGCATTTTTGAGGCATTCTTCATTATTAAATTTTTTTCCAAGAAGAAAGTTTTGCAAAGAACGAAACAAATGGTAATCGGAAGGGGCAATATCAGGAGAATATGCAGGTTGAGGGAGAACTTCCCATTCCAACTGGCGCAGTTTTTCAGCAGTGATTCTTGCAGTATGCGGTCGTGCGTTATCGTGGTGAAGAATTACGCCCTTCCGATTAATCAGCGCGGGTTCTTTTTCTCTTAAAGCTTGGGCTAACCTTTCCAATTGGGCACTATACACTGCACTTGTAATGGTTTGGTTAGATGGTAAAAGTTCATAATGAAGAATTCCTTTAAAATTCCACCAAACACACATCACTTTTTTCGCATGCAAGTCAGGTTTTGGCGTGGGCTGCGGAGCCTCATTTTTGTCCAACCATTGAGGCCGCCTTTTCAAATTAACATACGGCACCCATTGTTCATCTCCGGTAACAATTTGCTCTAAAAACGGCAAACGGTTTTGACGAGAGAGGAGCGAACTGCAAATTGTGACTCTTTGATTACGGTTGTTGTCCGTCAACTCATGAGGAACCCATTTTCCAAACTTTTGGACTTTGCCAAGTGCACGCATTTGATTGGAAATTGTTTTTTGTGAACAATTTAAAGTTGTCGCAAGCTCTTGTTGGGTAATTTGAGGATTTTGCACCAAAAGAGCTTGAAGAGCTTCTTGATCAAAATTGGACACACGGCCTCGACCACTCTTGTCATCTAACGAAAAATTTCCCTCGAGAAATTTCTCAAACCAACGCTGGCATTTTCTGGCGCTAACTGCATCTTGACCAAGAGCACTACAGATGTTTTTTGCAGCCTCACTTGCTTTTCTTCCTAATTGGAACTCGTAAAGCATGCAGTGCCGAATATGCTCTTCATCCGCGATCTTCTTAGCCCTAGTTTTGCAACAAAAACCAAACCAAACACAAATTTTTTCAAGCAAAACTTGTTAATTGCACTTCACACATTCTGTAGATACCACGTGTTTGAAGGTTATGTCAATACAAGTCAACGCCAAGCAAGATTTTAAACGAGTTTAAAAACGACATTAATTATTACTAGACCCGATAACTACCAGTCACCTGTGTCAGAATATGGGCATCATCCTAACTCCTCACTCTCCCCTACACCTATATCAGTGATTTCGTGGATAAAATTCTAGAAGGTTTAGGACAACATTGTTATGCCCAACATCCCTGGAATGAGAGTGTTAGCAGACCATGGATCTGAAATATCAACCACTGGTTTCAACTCTTACTTGGTGAATGGCAGTCTGTGGGGTATAATGTGGAGCCTGATCTAGGCTTTGCCATTTAATAAGCAGATCACTTAATTTCCCTAAGCTTCAGTTTATTTCTCTGTAAAACTGAAAAATGATCACTTGGTCAAAGGCCTGTAATTACGGTTCTATTTAACTGTTGGTCATAAATATTTATTATGGATGGTTTACACAGAGTTGTTACTGCTGAATCTGGAGAAATAAGCAAAGCTTATGCTTTTTTCATTCTCTAGGCTAATGATTAAACATGGTTTTCTCCTTCAAATACCACTTAATTCTAAGAAAGCCTCAGAGCACTGCCAATAGCAACAAATAAAAACATCTTCGGTATTTTCTGAAAGTCTCTCTCGGTCCTGTGGATCTCTGCCTGACCTTTTTCTTATTATATTTAACCAGAGGCCCAGTGCACACAATTCGTACATGGGTAGGGTCCCGAGGCCTGGAACTGTGATCAGGACTGATCTTTCCCAGCTCCCGGCAGCGGCCCCGCCCCCGGCCGCCGCTGCGGTTACCCTCTGTGTTACCCACCAGCAGGGCTATAGGGTCCCTGGCACCACACGCATCAGCCACCACTCAACCCCGGTTTCCAGTTCCTGTTCCCCATTGGGCGATCGGAGCCTGCCAGCTGGGGTAGAAAGAATCAAGAGGTTGGCTGTTCCCACTCACTCATTGGACCTGTCCCCTGCTGCCACCAGTTGCCCTCGGTGTGAAGGGCTACTGGCAGGACGATTGGATCGATTGGGGACCAGCAGATACGCTGCCACCCACCCTCAATTCCGGGTTCCCCATCGGGCAATCAGAACCTGCTGGCCAGGGGGAGGGAACAAGAGGTTGGCTGACAGGCTCCAATCAGGTGGTTGGAACCTGCGGGCTGGGGGCAGCTTCTGCATTGAGCATCTCCCCCTGTTGGTCAGTGTGCATCACAGCCACCATCCAGTCAATTGGCACATCATGCTTTTATATATATAGACTAGAGGCCTGGTGCACACATTCATGCACCAGTGGGGCCTATCCGCCTGGCCTTTGGGATCGGGTCAAAACTGGCCCTCCAACGTCCCCTGGGGGAGAGGGGGGGGGGGGGTCCCCGGATTGCAAGAGTTCATTTGTTCATTCCATAATGTTTATCGAGCATCTCTTATGTGTCTGGCACTATTTTAGGTGCTGTGAATAAAGGGAAAATTTCCCATCCTTATGGAGCTTATGAATACTTAAGGATATATGGCAGAATAAAATAAAAATAAAAGCAAGTAGCCGAAACTGGTTTGGCTCAGTGGATAGAGTGTCAGCCTGCGGACTGAAGGGTGCTAGGTTCAATTCCGGTCAAGGGCATGTGCCTTGGTTGCGGGCATATCCCCAGCGCGTGGGCTGGCCCTGCGACGGCCTGGCCCCTGCGGCGGCCTGGCCCCTGAGGCGGGCTGACCCTGCGGCGGGCCGGCCCGGCCATGCATGGGAGCCGTACAAGGCTTGGGGATAGAAGCCAGTCTTCTCTTCCGGGAGGGAGGAGAGTTTAGGGAGCGTCTGGGGCCCAGGAAGGAGTGGGAACGGGATCGTCGGGCTGACAGCGCCTCGCGGAGGAAGGAGGGCGCAGCGCTCCCCGAGGACCAGCCCGGTGGGAGGCGGGGCCGGCTGGACCCGCGAGGCGCCCGCCGCGCTCCCGCTCCCGCTCGACCGATCGGTCATGGAGGCACCGCGGGCACAGGCCGCGGGGGGGACACCTTCCCAATCCGCACTGCCCCCTTCTCCCCCCAGGCGGGGCCTGGGAGCCTGGGCGCGGGGCCGGGCCGAGGGCCGGCGGCGGCGGCGGCGGCGGGGAGGCCGCGCACTTACCCGGGACCGGAGAGCGCGAGCGCGCGGCGGGCCGCACGGCGGCGAGAGGGCGGGCGCGCCGCTCCGGGCGCAGCAGGGCAGCCGCGGCGAGAGTCCCTCGGAGGAGCCAGCGGCAAGGGCGGCCAGACATAGGCACCCCCTCGGCCGTGCCGGGGGCCGCAAAGCTCGGCTGGACTCGCCCCGCGGCGACCAGGCTCGTCCACGTGCGGCGCAGGGACGCGCTGCTCCCGCCGGCCCCGCCCCCGGGGCGGAGCCCGCCGCCGCCGCCGCCCCGCCCACCGCCGGGAGCCGGGAGCCGGGGAGGCCCCGCGGCCGCGCGCCCCCAGCGGCCGTCCCCGGGGCTGCAGCTGAGCTCCTTGACCTCTTACCAGCTGGGACGTGCGGGGCTCTCCGTGGCCCATTCACTCCAGGAGCTGCCCAGGCGGTGGCTCCTGGCCTGAGACGAGGACAAGAAGTGATTTTACCAAGGAGTCCTCTTTAGGTGACGTCTAAGTCAGCAATTGCCGTGGGGATGTCAGTTGCATGTTAATGACATGTCAGTTGCATGTTAATGGCCCTTTTTTTTGTTGCCTTCCACCACGCAGTGAACGTAATAACAGATAGCGAATCACATGAGGATCCGTATAGTTCTTTTATATAATTCCTTCGAATGCAACGGATCCAAGAGCACCATTTTTCCACGTCTTCAGTGCTAGATACCTGCATGCTACAGTAGATAGCTCCCCTTCCAAATCCTGGTCACAGTAAGTGTGTGCTCTGTGTAAAGCCAAGTTACATTCATTACCCTGCCCATGCTCTTCAAGGAGCACGTGCTCCCCCAGCCCCCGTTCTCTGGTACCACCTCCCATCTTGTTTCTGAAGTTGTCAAACCCCTGGGTTCTCCTCCTACCTCTAGCTACCAGGTAACCCCTGTTCCTTCTCCCTGGCAAAGGGCAGGTTTGGGGCGGGCTCTGCATGGGGTAAAAGTGCATATTGGACGCTGAGTCCTTGTCCTCCCGTCAAGCTTCCAGGACATCTGTAGTAAGTTGCATCAGATCAACCTTAAAGGATCCAAAGATAATGACATTGGAAAGGCTCCAACCAAACAGCCCGACCGAATTACATTAAAGCTAGTCATTAAGCCCCCCCCCGCCCCCCCCCCCCCCCCACACTCTCAGAACATCTGAGATATCATTTAAAACGCGCATCGAAATGACCCATATTGAGCCCCAGCCGGTTTGCCTCGGTGGATAGAGCGTCAGCCTGTGGACTGAAGGGTCCCAGTTCGATGCCGGGCAAGGGTGTGTACATCCCCAGAAGGAGGTGTGCAGGAGGCAGCTGATTGATGTTTTCTCTCCCATAGATATTTCCAACTCTATTCCTCTCTGTAAAATAAAATAAAATAAATAAAATATATTTTTAAAAAAAGAAAGAAGAAATGATCCATAGTGAATGCATGGTGCGGAGGAGCGGGTACTTCCAAGCTCCATCAGGAAGGGCCCAGCGTGATGGAGGAGGACTGGCCCCCTTTCTCCCGAGAGCCTTCGGGCGGCGCCAGCGTCCCCGGCGGCCGGCGGGGCGCCCTGCCGGCAGGGGGCGCGCGCGCGCGGGCCGCGGCTGCGCGGAAGGCCTCTCTGGGAGAGGAGGAAGCGACCAGCGAGACGGAGGACGTGGCCCCGACGCCGGCCCCACAGTTTCCGAGCGGAGCTGGTGGCCCGGCGGGCGGGCCCTGCTCTCCGCCACGCTGGCGGCGCTCGGAGCCGAGGACGCGCGCCAAGGCGGGATGCTCCCGGCCGGCCAGGCCGGCGAGGGGCCGGCGACCCCGGTGAGGCGGCGCTGCGGCCCGGGGAGGGAGGGGGCACAGTCCCGGCCAGGGGAGATGGTGGCGGGGAGGGGGCCCTGGCCGCCGGCTGGAGGACGTGGCCCCGGCGCAGACCCCCGGGGAGGGAGCCCCGAGCGGGAGCTGTGGCCGTCCCGGGGAGATGACACATCCTCCTGGGGAGGTGACAGTGGCGGCCTCGGAGAGGTGTGGTAGTTTCTTTTTGTTGTTGTTCGTGTGTTTTAAAAAATACATATATTTTATTGATTTTTTTAGAGAGGAGGAGAGAGGGATAGAAAACTAGAAACGTCGATGAGAGAGAAACATCGACCAGCTGCCTCTTGCACACTCCCTACCGGGGATGTGCCCGCAGCCAATGTACATGCCCTTGACCTGAATCGAACCTGGGACCTTTCAGTCCGCAGACCGACGCTCTACCACTGAGCCAAACCGGTTTCAGCTTTGCTTGTTTGTTTTGTTTTGTTTTTTTGAACCTGCATCGGACGGCTCTGACCGCTCAGGAAGGCCCCGGGGTCTGGGACCTCGCAGCCTTCCTGGGGATGGATGCCCTCTGGGAACCTCGTGTGAGTTCCATGTATCACTTCCCTCCTAATGTGTCTGTCACACCTGTTCTCCTTCCAGGGCTGCTCTGAAAGTGGGGACGAGAGGAAGACCGAGGAGGAGAAAAGTAAGCAGACTTCATACACCTTAGCACTGTCCACCGAACCATCTCTCCACACTCAGCCCTCCGGGGTCTGCCTCCCAGAGGGGGCTTTTAGGTGAAGTGGTGGTTTTGTGTGTTTTCTTTTTCTGCACAGTATGCGTGCATAATATTAAATGCTGATTATAATTATACACATATTTTTGTCTTTCTAAAATTGTAAAATATGGGGTGATTTGGGGAAGAGCACTTCCTGACCCCTATCTAGTGCAGGTACTTGTATGGATTCCTTGGAGTTCTGCCTATCATACTGGGTTCATATAATTGTGGCCTGCCTGTTAGTTTAATAAAGCACCAACTTAGGGAGCACCAGGAATTTGGAGGGGCTAGTGATCTAGGAGAAATGACCAACACCTTAATTGGGTTCAAAGGAATCAAGTGATAGTTGTTTAATAAGACTTGACCAGTGAATTTTCGCTTAAACACTGATCTGAGCCCTAGGCAGTTTGGCTCAGTGGATAGAGTGTTGACTTGTGGACTGAAGGGTCCCGGGTTCAGTTCCCATCCATAGCATATGCCTGGGTTGCAGGCTCAATCCCCAGAAGGAGGCAAGCAGAAGGCATCCAATCAATCATTCTTTCTCATCATTGATGTTTCTATCTCTCCTTTTCCCTTCCTCTCTGAAATCAATAAAAATATACTTTTAAAAAATTGATCTGAGCCCTTGTCGGTTTGGTTCAGTGGATAGAGTGTCGGCTTGGGGACCAACGGGTCCTGGTTTCTATTTTGGTCAAGGGCACATACATTGGTTGCAGGCTCCTCCTCAGCTTGGCCCCTGGTCGAGACTTTTGCAGAAGGAAATCAATCAATGTGTTTCTCTCACATCAGTGTTTCTTTCTGTCTTTCCCTCTCTCTTACACTCTCCCTTAAAAAACAAAACAAAAAAACAAAAAACAATGGAAAAATATCCTCGGGTAAGGAAAAAATTGATCTGAGAAGAACACAGTGGATAACTTGGTTCTTGGATCTTGGACTGGACGAGGAAGAGGGAAAGGTTAATACCTCCATCTCCTACTAAGCCCAGGAGTGTATGTCAGCGATGGGGACATTTGCCATTTTACTTAACTCATTGCTCAGCAGGCTTTTGGAAATAAATCTTGAGGGGCTTTTGAAGTGGAATTTTTGGGGGAAGAAAGGAAAAGCTTGTAACAGCCGTTCTGTCAGAGGGTTTTTGGTTCTTCTGATCATGGCAAATGGTCTGGGAATGAGAGATAAGAGAAAGGGTGCCCGTGTTACCATATCAGCTTTATTTTTTTTTTATTTTTTTATTTTATTTTATTGATTTTGTACAGAGAGGAAGGGAGATAGAGAGTTAGAAACATCGATGAGAGTCATTGATCAGCTGCTTCTTGCACACCCCCTACTGGGGGATATGCCCGTAACCAAGGCACATGCCCTTGATCAGAATCGAACCCAGGACCCTTCAGTCCCCAAGCCGACGCTCTATCCATTGAGCCAAACCGGTCCCGGCACCATATCAGCTTTAGGAGCTAGGCTTTCCCTTTACTCTGATAAAATCTGCATCAGAAAGAAAGCTCTAAGAACTCCATAACACTTTACATAACAGAACGGTCACAGCTCAGCTCCTTTCCTAAAGGACCTTTGAGTATCCCATTTCTTTCCGTTAAACCCTCCCCTCTTCCACCTTTGCCCCATTCACATGCCTGGGAGTCAATGCCTGTTGAGCTATCACATTAATAAAATGATAGACACAGACTGTGGACTTTATCCTTGTTCCTCCATTGGCTTGGGCAACTGTTTTGCAATTAGGAGTGTTCTTTACAAAAAAAGAGAAAAGGAGAGACATAAAACTCCCCAAATCATCAATGTGTTATTTTGAAGAATGTCTGACTGAGAACAGTCTATGCTGTATTTAAATGATTATATCAAAACAGTTAAATTTTGTAAGTGTAGAATTTACTCCCTAAGCTAGAGAAACCTTAGCATTCACAAATATTCCCTCTGCACCCAGCCCTGCCTGTGTCTGCAGATGTACCCACGTAACTCACTTGTTTTATTTAAGATAAATAAGAAAGAAGACATTGTGACTTCTCTATATAACAGTAGAGTGCTTTCTGTTTTAATAGAAAATACCAATGTGGACCAGTCAATTCTATTCATATTTGAAGGAAAAGAAAATAAGAGTATTGGGCTGAGAGTCAGAAAACATGGGTTTTCTATTTACAAACATTAAGTGTAGGCTGGGAAAATATTATAATTTATAGTTGGGGCATAGACAGATGCAAGTTTTGCTTCTACCTGCTTGTGGGCTCCTGATTGTTAAAGCGTAAGAACCGGGTTTTCAGTTCTTTTAAGTCGAATAAAACAAAGGAAAATTTATTTTGGGGGTGTTGAGGAAAGGAACAAACTCAGTACTAAACACAAAGGCATATGTTTTGTTAACCTTTAACACAAGTAATTAAACAATATACAATAGTTATATTTTCACTTTAGGCACATCTTTTCATATATATTTTTTAAAAATATATTTTTATTGATTTCAGAGAGGAAGGGAGAGGGAGAGATAGAAACATCAATGATGAGAGAGGATCATTGATCGGCTGCCTCCTGCACACCCCCAGCTGGGGATCAAGTCCCCAACCCCCGGTATGTGCCCTTGACCGGTATGGAACCTAGGATCCTTCAGTCCGTAGGCCGACCCTCTATCCACGGAGCCAAATCTGCTAGGGCCATCATTTTATTTTATCA